AGTGTGGCAGCGGTAGTGAGGTTGGCCCAGGATCGGACATTGTTTCGTTCTGCTGTGCAAGGGGTCGTTATGAGTCAGTTCTGACTCGATGGCACCTGACAACAACAACAACAAGAAATCTTATGAATACCAGTGGCACACTATCAGCATCAGAATATTGAAACATGAATAGCACCAGAGTATTGTCAGATATAGTGATGAAAGTTGAACCTCTCAGGTTGGGAGGCACTCCAAATATGACTGCGGATGAACTGCCTCCTCAAGATAGAGTTAGTTGACCATGATGATGCAAATGGAATAAAGCTTTTGGGTCCTTCATTTGTTGATAGTGCACAAGTCAAAATGAGGAGAAACAGCTGTAGATGACCATTAATGATTGGATCATGGAATACATGAAGTATGAATCTAGGAAAACCAGAAGTTGTCAAAAATTAAATTGAAAGATAAACATTGATATCCTAGGCATTAGTGAACGCAAATGAACTGGTATGGGCCATTTAGAATCTGACAATCATATAGTTTACTATGCCAGGAATGACAAATTGAAGAGAAATGGTGTCACATTCATCATTAAAAGAACATCTCAAGATCAAGATTGAAGTATTATGCTGTCTATGATGCGATATTATCTATATGCCTACAAGGAAGACTAGTTAATACCACTATTCTTAAAATTTACCAACAAATCACTAAAGCCAGTGATGATGAAATTGAAGCATTCTACCAACTTCTTCCGTCTGAAACTGATGAAACATGAAATCAAGATGTATTGATAAATACTGGTGATTGGAATGCAGAGGTTGGAAACAAAGAGGAAATTTGAGTATTTGGGAATATATAGCCTTGCTGGTAGAAACAATGCTGGATAGAATTTTGCAAGACTTCTTCCTTTCTTTAAACATAAAAGATGACTATAAACATGGACCTTATCAGACGGAATACATAGAAATCAAATTGACTACATCTGTGGGAAGCGATGATAGAAAAACTCCATATGTCATCATCAGCCAAAACATTGCCAAAGTTGAATGGGAAGTGACCATCAATTGTTCATATGCAAGTTCAAGCTGAAGCTGAGGAAAATTAGAACAAGTCCAAGAGAATCAAAATTTAACCTAGAACATATTCTACTTGAATTTAAAGATCTCCCAAGAACAGATTTGATGCATTAGACACTAATGACTGAAGACCAAAAGAGTTGTGGGATGACACCAAGAAC